TTAACATATATTTAAGCTATAACATATGTTTATAACTCTCCCTCCTTCTTGGTTTTTAATTTGGGGCATGTGTTTGGTTCTTGCATGTCCACATTCTAGTAATAAGTGAAAAATTTAATTTGTAAACATAAGGGGATAATTTGAAATTGATTTCTATACTTTTGGTTGCTGTTGGCTGTTTCCATGCTGATAAATAGGAACTATGAGACGGCTACATGTCTTACAAAGTAATTTTATACCATATGCTCTGTGCTTGAAGATAAAGTTGCTGTAATCAGTGATAGCAAGTGTATTACTTTGCGTAACATCAATGTGAGTTATAATTGATGCCTAGCAGTTTGGTAACAGCTCTTATCAAGAACGTACAAAGATTATAGCACAATCATTGGTGGTTCAAATGTTCTCACAGAGATTGTCGGGTGCTTCCTATAGGGTATCTTTCTTTGACAGCTCTTAACATATGTAGGTCGACACTTTTGTTACAAAGCAAACTTCAGTTACTCATTTCTAAAAATGTGTTCAAAACCATTAAGTGTTTGTCTTCAGCACAATCAAGACCATGTCATTCCTTCAGGGTCTTGTTAAAGGAATGCAAGCATTCAAAATAGAAAATTCATTCTGAAGGCTGCTGCAGCTGTGTACACTACTCCATCCCTTGTACACTTGGTAGAAAAGGAATTTAATATTATTATTTTATGTGTATGTTCCTGTTACCATATCTTCCTTTTTTTGCCAACAGTGGCTGCTCATATCTGTATTCATTTAATGTGTTATCATAGTGATGTACTGTATAAGCTCCTTGGTGTTTGTCTCTCTCCTGCCCGTTTTCTTTGTGTCTGGGATCTTAGGGCTGAACCTCATACTGACTCTTAAGAAACCTGACCTGGAAACCCAAACCAGAGTCTAGGTCAGTGGGTTTGGCCAAATGTTGGTATATACATATTAAAATCTTTAAGAGATTATTTATTACATGGATAAATGGAATGAGATAAGAAAAATTAAAAGATAGGAAAAAAGCTAGTATTATGCCCTATTTGCAGAGGGAGCACCAAGATCCATCTTGGAGAGTATTTAACAGAGGTAGGAATTACAGCTGTGTACCAAAGTTAGTAGACCAGTGCCCACAGTCCTATCATCTTTTTTTAATAATTATAATAGATCATTAACCAAGCCTGGATGTGTTTGATGCCCTAATTTGGGAAGGACCTATGGTTTATGAGCCATGGCTTTGAGTGTGTCTTGTGTGCTTGTCAAATGCTACATGAGGACATGTGACAATGCTATGTCAGGGATTAGGCAGTGGCTGCTAAAGGTGCCAAACGTAATCCTGCTTTAGGAACAAGTCCCATACCTTTAATATTCCTGTTCTGAGCTGGAACAAAGGAGGCCCAGAAGTTGTGTCTTCTCCTGAGCTGATGACACCTGCCACCTTGAGTTGCAAAGGTCTAGTCAACCTAGAAATCAAAGCTTCTCCCAAGAGGACACTTCTGTTTTACTTTAAGCTCTTTTCTCTTTCCTTTCCTCTTAGAATCACTTCATTTTTTCATTTTATATTTCATTGTCTGTAGTTCTCATTTATTTCAACTTTCTATGTCTTTGCCTCTTTTGGTGGCTCGTTTGATATATATGATTAGTTATATAGATCATGTATTTTCCCCTTCTTGATTACTTATGGAATGTTTTCAGACTTGAACATCAATAACTTTTTTTAACTAAACATTATTCTAAATCCTAATTAATTTAATAAAAATCTGACAATTTCTGGATGTTTTAGTAAATAACAAGGGTTTACTATGATAATTGTGTATAACAGCAAGTAATATAACTACACAGAAAAGTGTCATTTTGTAGGAATACTGTTATTTTTGTGAAGCTAGATATGTGATTAATTTTTGGAGCTAGAATAGCTAATTGTTAACTGGATGTAACATGACTTCTTTTTTCTTCATTCATCAGAAGTGCTTTTAGAACATGCATTTCTGTCACTTACCTTATAAAATATATAAAACTGTTAACAATATTTTCTTCTAGTAGAGTATGGCTATTCAACAAAATGTTAAGGCCAAATGCTTGTTCAATTTTTATTCAGAGTTTAGTGAGGCAGAATTGTAATTTATGTCAGTATAAGATTTTTTGGTTTTGTTTTTCAGTTAAGCAGTTTAGCTAAAGACTTGTTCTACATTGCAGATATTTTCCCCTAGTTACCAAGTTTTGATTCTATCTTCTCACTAGAGAGCCTATACTTCACAGAAAACCAAGCATAATCATTGTTTGTTGACTCTTCAGAGGCAATTTAGCACTGCTTTTCTACAGTACTTCTGGATGTGAAGTGAAAGAACATTTATTTTGCCTGACATGCACCTCTGCCATTCAAGATGGACGCAATCAGCTGAGCAGTTGACATGATGCAGTCCTACATTTGTACTTACAATTTTTTAATCTAAAGATTCCAGGTTTTGAAAAAGTGGCTTGGTTCCCTTTGAAACCTACTGGCTAATTAATCATGGTTACAGAGTGCTGTTGCAGGCAGCTTCTTACAACGTTTGATTAAGTGCTGAAATGGGGAATGTGTTACAGTGAGCACGCTCACATCTGGCAAGTCATCATGGGTACTTGCTGCTCTGCACTGTAAGCAGTTTTTCTCCCCAAAATGTGTTGACCTGACTCTATGCTGTTAAATCACTGAGTTATAGTTACTACCTTGTAGTGTACATCATATGTCCAATTCACAGTTTGAGACTGTGAGAAGCAGACATAAGCTGAGACTGCTGTGCAAGCATTTAGAGATCTCTCAGCTCACCAACTTTTTTTTTTTTTTTTTTAAGCAAAATGTTTTAAGTATCAGATGGGCAAATTTGTCAGTGACTGCAAATTTTGTCCACATATAATCATCAGTGCAATTATTTTTGAACAAATGCTTCTGAATTTAAAAGAAGATTCTGAATTCTGAATTTTATGTTATTTAAGGAAAAAGTTGAGCTAAAATAGGTAATTGAATTAGAGTGCCAGAACACTGCTATCAGGGAAAATTTCGTCCCATTTTTTTCTTAGTTGAGAGAGGTTAAGTACTACCACAAGCAAATAGTCCTTTTGTAGATCCATCATCTTTTTATTTCCCCAGACTTCCAATCAAGCTCTTCTTGTGTGGATCTCCCACATTTTTAATGTGTGAACCGTTTCTCTCTGTATATCATATAGCAAATCAAATTATTGCAGAACATATACATTCCTTAAAAACCAAAAGAAAGTCAACAAAGAAAAGCACCAGACCACCACACCAAAACAAAAAAATTCCTTTTTTTTTTTTTTTTTTTTTTTTGAGTCCTTTCTACATCTACACTAAGGCAAAACTAGGAATGGCAAGTGACTAGCATTAAAGAAAAATATTTTAATAATACCTGAAAGGCAGCTGTATAACAGTTAGATCACAGAAAATTATAATACAAAAATAAATAATCTCCTGAAACACCTAAGCAAGGACTAAATACATCATAATTTCAAGCATAAACTTTATGAGACTATCTTTCAGGTGTTTAAAGATAGAAATTACACCACAGGTCCTTTAGACTGCTTGATGCATTTACTTTTGATACATTAAAAGTTTAAATTCTTATTATAGATTGAATTGCTTGCAAAGTACAATTGAATATATTCCAGATTACTAAGGGGGGGTTTGTTGCTTTGAGAGAGGAGAAGATTATACTTGATATGCCTTTAAATTAGGGCTGAGACTTAGCCTGCCAGAGCATGTTACTTCATTTTCAGTAGCGAAGTTTTAGCCTAATGAAAACTGGAAGGAAGGGGTCATGGGTACCACAACAGCAGACTATCTGTTTGCATAACGTGCTGTGATAAACTTTGAAATATGTGACTATTTATGTATGTGCATATTAATTGTTAATTATGCCAACATTAATGATGGTAAACTTGTTACCCATTTTACCATCTGTGCTTCCTATTGTTTGCTTCTTTTTTCCCCCCATAATATCATTGCAATAAGGAAAACTTGACTTGGAGTTAACAGAAAAGAATTTTTACCACCTTTCTCTCTGAGCCATGGAGGGAAGGTTTGGCATGATATCAGTATGAGTGCTGGTAATCAATTGTGAGTCATTTCATGATATATAATGAGAGTTTTCCTTTTCCTCAATTCAGAGCTATTTTCAGTACTGACTCAGAATGGGCTAACACCAAGATTTATAATCAGCTTTCATCCTTTCCTGTTGTTTCCATTGGGGTATATTATCTTGACCATAAAAACAGTAAAACAGTAATTTGTAAAAGCAAAGCTATCCTGGTAATCATGCTGAATTGTTCTGATAGCCCATATCAATGGAAGGAAAACATGTGACTGAATAGTACTGCAGCACTGTAAAAATTAGGTCTCTGTTAAGATTAATAGAATGCTTATAGCAAAGGTGGTGCCTTCAGATGGGCCAGACCAAAGAACGTTTTATACTTGTTCTATCTTGACCCTGATAGCACAGTTTTAAAATTTAATGAACGTAAATGTTACTATCTATTCAAGTGTATATAGTCTAATTACCACCCCACCTTCCATGAACCAACACTTTAATGACTCAGATATGTCTGTCTATATGACATAACAGGACTTGGACTATATTTCTATATGATAAAAGATATCTCCTCTTAGGCAGAAACAATATAAAGTCTAAATATGCAAGATGGGGACTGAAGTATAGGAAGGGGTAAATCGTTCTTTATCACATTAGAAGAGTCTTGGAAAAGCTACTGTAGCCTTTGTCTCTGGAGTGCCCTGTCCTTGAAACACAGCCTGCAAAAGGTTGCTTTTAATTTCCTGAATTGGGCTAATAAGAACTGGGCTAATAAGAACAGAGCAACAATATAAAAGAAGTAAAATATATTAGCAGAACTCATGAAATTAGTACAATAAGCATATATGCAAGCTTATATACATCTATGCCACCATATTCAGTATCTATCTGTATCTGCAAATATTTCAGAACTAAGATACTCACAGACAGAAGCTGCTGGTGCTTAAAGGTGCAGGATGTAAAATCCCTGCTAGTGCTGAACAGCCTCCCTGGGATCAGGAACTGTATGTAATCCAATCATGTAATAGGATTGATATAAATATAAACCTATTAGTAATCCATGTGCTTGCATGTCAGAATGAACAGTGAATAAAGGGTGGAAGATGTCTGGGTCATGTTGCTCTTTCAAAACAGATAATCAATGTGCAGCATTGTAATATACACTGATTTAAAAGGCGAATTTTGGTGTAGGCAGCAATTTCATGTTACAAATTAATTCTGCTAAAGGTTCTGAGCTGTCAGTTGTTGGGGTTTATTTTCCCTCTCTTTTTTCTCCTCCAGCAATGTTAAAAAGGAAGGCTGAAATGATTTAGTTTTCAATAAACTTCATTGTCCATGATAGATGCAAAACAACAAATGAAACCATATGAAGTAAACCCCCATATTGTTTCAGAAGGGAGAAATCATCTATATGTAAAGAATATAGCATTGTATGCAGCTGATAAGAATAAAGCTGAATGGCTCATGTCATGTAATTAGCACAGTTACAGTATATTAATCCCTTAACAATGTAAAAGCCAGCAACCATTTGTTGAAAGCCAAGTACATATATGGTGAATGACCAGGACTGATGAGTCTCTTGAATTGCAGTCATGAAGAAGTTGGCAAATTAAGTGCCTTTGACCTTTCCTGACACAATAATCTTGCAAAGAAGACACTGCAAACATTTTAAGCAAATATCATGCCAAAGAAGTGCTGGGCTCACCTTATTATCATCAGTCTTGAGGTAGGAGACACCCAAAAAAGGAAATGCACTCCACAATTTTTCTAGTTTTGAACCCTGAACCAAGATCAAAGTATTACAGTAGGCCAACAAATTTCCTTTTCATTACTCAAAACACACCAGGTATCACATTCCTTCATGTATCTGATTTTGTTTCAGAAGTAGGGCTAAATGCATTTTTTCATACAGTGTAATGTAGGAAGTTTTGTTCTGTTTGTCTATGTGGTATAGCTATCAACTATGTTAATCTGACGTTGGTGAACAGATTTATAAACTATGCCCTCATAAATTAGCATGTATGCAAACATATTTATATGTGCAAATGTTATTTTAATTATAATTAAATAAGTAGGAAGTTAGACTGGATTCATCTGCTCATCCCTTCACATGGTGTTTCCAGTTCAGGATCTGCAAAGCCTTGTGGGTAATCTTTAAGCTACTGCCACCCACAAGATACCTCAGTGTTGTCTTCAGGAGGCAATGCATATTCCAAGTGGGAGAAGATTTAAATTACTATCAATATCTGATAAACCAGGAGCAAAAATAACTGTAAAAAAAAAATCAAGGTGTGTGGGACTTGAACATTTAGAAGTGTATCAGTCTGTACTCTGTTGACTAGAAAAGTTTTTTCCAGCTTTGGTCTAAGTAGTGAGATACTCTTCAAAGATTGCTAGATATTGGGAATGTTCATTAGTTACGTTGCTATCTGGGGTTACTGTGATTTTGGAATATATCTTCTCTACTCAGATTTAATACAGTAGAAAGAGACAATCCCTCATTAAAAAAGGTCAATAGTCTAAGTAGACAAACAATTTATATTCTTTCTAAAGGTAATATTGGGAAAATAGGCAGAGAAATGCTTGGAATTTAGTCTTTTGAATCCCAAACAAATACTTATGATCTCAAGACTCTCGGGTCTCTAGAATTTGATTTCTCTAGAAAAATTTCATTTAGTATGTTCTCATTTTATACTTTGATCCTGAAGCAGCCTATTTTGAATCATTACAGTCTGGACATAGAGAAATTAATTTTGTGGGTGGTCTATTGGAGGAAATGGTTGTCTGGCTTTAAGTATGATTTATGTTAAAGGCTGATATTAGATCAATATGCAGTATTTCATAAATCTCACACCTTGTCTAAACCTAGTTGAGGAACTCATTGTGGTTTGTCTTCATCATTCTTGAATTATCTTCTGATATAAATACATGATCTATCAGTGGTGACAGATGCTGCCTTGGCTTTGCAGTTCCTGTTATGTTAATGGGTCATAGTCTGGTGGAAAACAGCTTTTCTCAAATGGCCTGTCCTTGTTCGACAGCACTGAATTATTGTTTCACTAGCTTTAGTTTCTTCTTATAATTAACTATCAAATGTGCTGTAGGAACATAAGGAGCAAACAAACTCATTTTACAGCAACCTGTAAATTAAACAATTTCCAAACCAAAACTGACAGTTAATACCAAGCAGTAGTGCAACTTTCTGACACTAGAGAGTCACGTAATGAATTACCCATGAACATGAAATATTAATAACTAACATTACCTCACTTAATTCTTTTCATATATACTGTGCACAAAAGCATCTAGAATAAGGGCAGAAGAAGGGAACAGAACAGCTTTCAAAGTTTACTTTCTTATCTCCTTTAACTATTTTCTTGTGTTTTCTGATCAGTCACACAGGATACTTATCAGTGCCTGATTACTACTTTTATGTAGTTTACCACTTTTTTGATGATGTGATCTATTCCAGGATCTGTTCTAATTAATCTTTTAAAAATAACAGTGCTCAACATCTCCATGCTCCTAATCCATGTCTTTGTAGACATTACTAGTGAAGGTCTACCTTATATGGTGTATCACAAATAAATAATTTAAAATTTTCATTTTTTTTTAAAGTAGAAATGAGTGGTACTGGAAAAAAAGGTTCCTATTAAGCTCCTTAATTGATTATAAAAATCAAATAGTATGGATAACTATAATATAGTACTGAACCATATGCTTACATTATATTTACTTGTGTTGCAAAATGTTGAGCCTTTAGTGCTTTAAGAAAAATTATTTATGCAGGTCAGAGCTACAAAAATCTTGTTTTTTAACCTCAAGTTTATTTAGTGCATCTATCCTTGTAAATGTGGCTAGATAACAACTGTTTCCTACCAAGCAAAATTGTTATTTTAACTCCTATTTTAAAAAATCTTTAGGGTAAAGCTATTTTGTAACCATAAAGTAATCTTTTTAGTCAAACACTGATCATGTACTGTATATCTGAGATCAAAACCATACATTTTGTAACATGCCATAATTTTTTATGCATAAATGTTGGCTGTATAAAGACAGGAAAGTATCATAATTTTAATAACTGAAAAATAGAATTTAGCTTATAAGTAGATCTCTTGAAATCCATGAAGTTATACATTTTCCTTTCTATTAAAACTGAGATGTCTGAGGCACAGAGAAGCATGGCTTGTTACAGGTGGTCTATCAATGCAGTGACAGAACTAATCGAGCCCTATGCTCTGGAGACCCAGTGTGTTAATGCTTCCATGATTTGGGTAACAGATATTTATCAGAAAAGGAAAATTGAAAGAAGATAAATTTTTACAATGTTTATCACTTTATTTTCTAGAATTATGAGCTTTATGATGCTCCCATGAAGGTCATTGTGTAGAGGCATCTGAGGAAACCTTGGGATTAGAGGGAATGATGTATGGTAGGGCTTCTTACAGTAAACAGTTGCAAAGACTTTTTAGAGTATTTTTTGGAGAAAAGCAAAAGAGAAACCATACAAGGACAAATCTTGCCTTAAAAAAACCCCAAACCAAACAAACCCACCTTACAATATGCCAGACAAAGAAAAAACCCCACAAGGCAGCAGGACCTGGGTATTGCAAAGAAATCATGGCTCCATCAACAAGACAAGAAAAACACTAAACCTGAGGAAGTCCTTCCATAATAATAGAAGTATTTAGGACTTAGGATGATTCTTCTAGAAGGAAAAATTATCCCACAAGCATGTGATATTGTTTGTGATCACACACAGAGTTTCTGTATGATGCCAGTTCTCTTTTCTAGATACTATGCTACACACAAATTGGCAGCTATTTTTAATGAGGTTCAAGCAAGTGTGGGGTTAAGACTAGAAATAAAAGTAGTGAGAAGAATATCAGAGATCAGGAAGAAACACATTTGATCAATTATAGTGTTAATTTTTCTGCATTAGCAAGACTCAACTTTTCACTGCTGGATAGGAACATGGTGTAAAACTGCTAAATGATTAAGGCTGTGCTGGATTATGGTTACCATTATTGGTGGCTTTATGTGAGGGTTGGGTTTGAGGTTTTAGTTTTTCTTTCTTTTGGTTTACTATTTCAAAGGAGGGAATTACTGGATTAGTGTTTCCTATTTTATTGATGTCAAAATGTTCTTTCTGTTCCATCAAGCTTTTACACTTTAAGAAACCAGCAGGTCTGAAAGCTCTATTCCTTGAACAAATTACACTGAGGTTTTTCTCTACTGCCACTGGTAGAAGTTGTTTAAAAAATAAGTAGAGATAAATAAAAAGCCCTTTGACCAAATCAGTGCTTAGATAAGAGATGTTTATGCACCTTTTAATTTAATTTACAGAGGGCCAGATTTATCTTCCTTGAGAAACCAAGCCTATGTTTAGAAGAAGGCGGCCTGCAAGCATATGGTGCTCTGCTTAATGTGTTGGTCACAGGATTTAGCTTCATGTTTCAAAACCATGTCCCATATAATTACAGGTCAGCTCTACAGAGAGTAACATCGTAATTAAAATTTCAAAAAGATCAGGCCTACCTAAGTCCTAAAATTAACGATCTTGTTTGACAAAAGATAAAACAGAAAGGCTAGGGTAATCTGTGCTCTAACCTAAATTATACCCGCTGAAGTAGAAGGAATAGGAAAAGGCTTTGTAGAAAAAGGGAGATATTACCTCACTATTTAGAAACAGATGATTGGGTTGATTTGTTGAAAATTTATTAGACTGTCATACTGTTGATTTTTTACCTATAAAGATCTGGAGGAAAAGTTAAGTCCTACTAACGGGAACACAAATACCATCTGATAGCTAGTGCAGTCGCATTAACTGAGAATTGTTTTTAAAGCTGAGGTTTGACCCTTTGAGTTGCCGAATGGTCGAAATTCCCATGAACTGTTTCATTCCCATGAAAACATTTATGTCTAATCAACTTCAATCATGTGGGGGTCTCAATAACTGCTTACTGTGACTGACATTT